ACCCTCATTCGAGACGCTCTCGCCGCTCTCGGTGATTGGCTAAACGACGAGTCAGTCGAGGCGCATTTCTCTTGTCGGAATGTGACAGAAGCGCATTAATTTTATCTCACGATATTGTGACTCGATATTGCGACACGTCTGCATTGCTGTTGCGCGAGTCGCGCTAAACGGATCTCTCGTTCGCAGGATTGATATATCTCCAGCGCAGATTGAGAGAGCTTGCCGGATTAGTCATAATTTTTAATTAGAAATCTTTCCGTATGTGTGCGTGCTGTGTGTGTATGTATGTTTGCGCGCGTGAGACTTCAGTTTCGCACAGTTCACTCGAAAAATTCCGTTAGAAGAGAATCGTGCGCATTCGTTTATCTAGCGCAATAAAATTTCCAGACGTTGCACAAAAACTACACAGAGGAATTCGAAAATACAAATAAAGGGGCAAACATGAGCGCGCATAGAAAAATATTAAACATTGCCTCCGCGCGTGAAATGCCGCGTAAATCTGTGTGTTTACAAAACTGCAAATGCGATAAACTATTTTCCGCGCGTTTCCCTCTTCTTTCTCTCCCCCCCCCTCTCTCTCTCTCTCTCTCTCTCTCTCTTTCTCTCTCCTTTTTTTAACCCGCCTCGGAAATTTACCGTCGCCGGATGCGCGCGAGGAGAAACGATAACGATAACGTCGCGCGACGCGAAGATCGCTCGATACTTGGACGGGGAAGCATACGCGCGGCAGCAGGCTTTCGCCATTCAATATCGAAATAGAATTTAGTGGGTAAGGGAGAAAGATAGAGAAAAGGAGGGAGAGTAGTGTGCGAGGGGGGCCAGACGGGACGTGGGGTCGGTTGCCCCAAGCCTCGGTAAATCACGGCCCCGCCATGTTTAATGCAGCTTTTTCAATTGTTCTCGAGGTCACGTATTCACACGGCGATCCCTTCAACTGCCGATTTACGGCCCCGGGACCAGATAGTAACCAATGTCGATGTCAATGCGCCGCGAGAGATCATTGCCGTAATCTTCCGTGGATCTATTGGATCGCTTTATCTCCTTTTATTACGATATACTTCGGCATTCCACACCCGGCGCGTATCTAATTTAAGCTCTCGCCGAAACGCCCAGATTCGCTTTTACTTTCCGAAAGAGAGACAGAGAGAGAGGGGAAGAGAGAGAGAGCGCAAAGAGATCGACGTAACGACCCCCGCGCAACAGAGTCCTTTTTGGCGCAGAAAATAACGTCGCGAGCGCAGCTCGGCGCGCGGACGAACGAACGAGCGGGATGGAGAGGATTGCGCGAATTCTGCGGCTGCAAAGCGATTTATGGGAAACGAAGGCGGGCTATAAAATAACACTTCCCATTCAAATCGGCAAATTAATGGTCGCTTTCGTGGATTCTTTGTTTGGGTCGCACGACAATGGCGGCCTGCTGAGTTATTATCCTGAAATAGTGCGACAAAATTTCAGGAACGTCGGCCCCCCTTCGCAAATTTTCGTCCTGTGCGCGTCCTGCCTCCCTGATAGATAATTTTCTAACCAAACGGTCGCGCGTAGTCACGTGGTAGAGGGTGCTGTGGGAGAGCCACAAACAGCTGAAAGAAAGAAAAGAGAAAGGAAAGATCGAGGAAGCAAAACTGTGCATTCGCATTCGCGTCGGAAGAATCCGAAAAACTCTCACGGAAGTCTTCCTCAACCGCGTGGGTGTGATCGTTAAAGTCCCCAAAATTCTACGATCCGGAGATCTCGGCGAGAACCCGGATTCCTCCGGTTACAACCCCGGCGGATTCCACCTGTCCAGGTGCGCATTAAATTGACATCGCACTTTTGCCGCGCCCGGCCCGCGAATTGATCGGCTCGCCTAGGCTTCAAAACTATTATCTAGTTTAGATACTTAAGTCCTCGCGGAAAGTTACTCCTCGCGAGCTTTAATCTCTCTAAGCACGAGGTGATTATAAAGTTTCTTATTAAGTTTCGGTGTAGCACACCACCACACGCATACTCCGGCCGCCATTGCGATACACGGGTGAAAAACTTTGCCGGTACCTCGGCTATATGTAATCCTCCTCCTTCTCCCCCCTCCCCACCCTCTCTCCCGGCTAGTAGAAGAAAATGCGAAAGTGCTCCCCATATTATTAGAACGCGTTTCCCGCTCTTGCGAAGCGTTATTCGGCTGAGAAAGGTGCGCGTCCGAACAATGGAGGGAATTTGAACAATTCGTACGTCGTGCCTCCCTCCCCCAACCCCCCGCTAAGCACGAGTGAGTCCGGACGCATTACTTCATTTCAAACTATTTTAAATCCGCACCGAAATTATTTTTACTTCACAGCAGTTTTTTTTTTAATTTGAGTCGACTCATTTATTTATTTTCTATTTTCCGAATGTGCAATACATTTCGCAAATTAAATACGCAGTCTCTTATGCAGAAACGAATTTTATGTTTTTTTTCCGAACTACTCTCCCGATACCGAAATTATTTTTATTTTGCAATGTTTTTTTAAATATACCTTTCATTTCAATTATTTTATTTCCATTTCCTGAGTGCTATATTGCGCGCACGAATTAAATATATAGTCTCACATAGCAACAAAAGACTTTGCATCCCTTGTTTTTCTGTTATTTTATTGTTCTCGGTTGCTCGGGGGGATATCTCCCGTCATTACATTTTCCGACTCTCTCTTTATTATTAAAAAATTACAGAGTAACAGCCGTTTTTCTTTGATAAAAGGAATACAGTCGCGACTATATTTTCCCAGGGCGCACATCACTCTGATGCATCAATGTGTATTCATCCTCCTCCACCTACGTACTATTCGCTGCATATTTATCTGACGTTAAAGAAGGTCCTGCTTGATGTTCCATATTAGGATTGATGCGAGCTTCCACTCGCGGGAAATACGGCGAGAGCTTTCGCCGTATGCAAAATCGCCGTATGAAGAATCGCGATGAAAGGCGGACGAGGAATCGGCACGGATTTCTTCGGCTACATTCGCGACGCGATGGAAACGACAATGGAGCTTACACGCGCAAAGATGCCCGCCATCTTTTAGCCGCGCTTTCGAGAAATCGCTAGATAATTGGCTGAATTAATGAGGTCACATTCGCAAAGTGAGGATTTCGCAAACAAAAATTCGCGAGGTATCATTGTAACGAAAAGGAGTACATATCGTTTCGACGGGGAACGAGATTTCCGTCGGCAGGCGCACGCGATTATTCTGCAAATTGCAAAATTTAACGCTCCGTGGAAGCGTCGAAATTTACAGCTGTGCGCCGCGTTCCGAAATTCAGAAGACTGCATCTTAAAATCATCGTTTTACGTTCATTCGCGCGCCGAAGGAAAGTTCTTAACTTCCGTCGGCTGCAGCCGTGCGCGATGCCCCGCGCCTCTCCCTCACCGGCACAAAGTGGCGAAAGCACCGCGGTGTTTGAACGCGCGTTCTTTGCGCGAAGCGGATATCCATCGCGTGTTGTCTGAAATCGCTTGCTGCGTTTTAAAACGCCGCTGATTCGCGGAAAAGGAGAATCGTTAACCCGGCGCCGCCGGGAGCGGTGGTATCTTCGCTTTCGCGATCACAAAGAGCAAATATGGCGGTTGGATACGGTACTTTGCGCGAAATGGATATCCATCGCGTGTTGTAATTGGAGGGAAGTTGCATTTTGCCGATGCGCCCGCTGAAGGCGAATGGCATGTGAAATAGGTCAGTGTAGGGCAACTTGACTCGATATCAAACGCTCCGTATAATTGTTACAGCGATTATAAGTTTACGGGCGGAATAAAAGGAGAGAAATCGTATGCGCGCGTACATCTCACGTTATGATTTATAAAAGTAAATTGGATATCTGCAAAATAAACTACGTTTAATGCGGGATTATCTGTCGGCGGATGGACGCGTACATCGAATCCCCTTCCGTAGGAAAATTGTGTACCAATAATGGGAGTTTATCCTTCGAAATCCCTTTGCGTTTGATTTCCGTCCAAACTGAAATTTAATCTACACTGTATGATTACTATTTAGACATATATCGAGATGCGACGCGATGCTTTTTAAAGCGAGCAAATAACAGCGCGCATCTTTTTTCCCCCGCTCATTTTCCCGTTCGCACATCCAAAGCGCTCGACGAGCTGGGCAGTATCATTTGTAAAACAAAAAGAGAGACATTCCGAAAAGTAACTTTCTTTTATCAAAGCTAAACTGTGTGCGTTCTAATTTTGATGAAGTGTCTTGTAAAGTGTTTCTCAAATTACTCAAATTGTCAGTTTCTAAATTGCTTAAATTGCAACATTATTCAGATTCTTTGCATAAGATGCTTTGAATTTTTCAACCCTCAATCTCGTTCAAATTACAGATTCAATATTCTGATAGATGATAGTCTTGCTTGGGCGAGGAAAAGAGAGCGTTGAAAAGTGTTATTATGAACTGACATGATCGAATAAAGTAATATCTTTAAAAAAAAGAGAGGAATACCCCGAAAGATGACTTCATCTATCAAAATCAAATTATGTGCGTTTCAACTTTGATGAAACGTCTTGCAAAGTGACAGTGTTTCTGAATTGCTAAATTGTCAGTTTTTAAATTACTCAAATTGCAACATTATTCACATTCCCCCGAGATTTTTTGAATTTCTCAACTCTCAATCTCGTACAAATTGCAGATTCAATATTGTGATAGATGATAGTCTCGCTTGGACGAGGAAAAGAAAACGTTGAAGAATGTTATCATGAACTGACATGATCGACGAATAAAGTAATATCTTTAAAAAAAGAGAGAAAAACCCCGAAAGATGACTTCCTTTATCAAAACCCAACTGTGTGCGTTCCAATTTTGATGAAGCGTCTTGCAAAGTGTCAGTGTTTCTGAATTACTCAAATTGTTAGTTTCTAAATTGCTCAAGATGCAATACTATCCAGATTTCTATTTTGAATTTTTCAACCATCAATCTCGTTGAAATTGCGTATTTAGTGATGGACGATAACCTTGCCTGTATAAGGAAAAGAGAGCGTCGAAAAGTGTTACCTTGAACCGGCGCGTAAACGTTGAGGTACAGGCAGTCCTCGCTCTGGTTCCTGAGGTAAGGCAATAGCCTCTTGAGGTACTCCACTCTGCCCTTGGGCATCTTGTCGCTGAGCTCGGGCAGCTTCTGGGGACAGACCGGTCCGAACTTGTCGGCGACCTTCACGCCGTACCAAAGGGCGCCGCTGACGGGCGGCATGAAGCGCAACGAGCCAATCGGCGGCGAGGCGTAGGGCACGCCGCGGAACACCTCGACGCCCTCGAGATATCGATCGAGGGTAACGATCACGCCTGACAGCTCGCCGTACTTAGTCCTGACGATCCTCGAGCTCAGCTGGGCGCTACTGATCGCCAGGATCAAGCCGAGCAGCCCCAAGATCGACGACGACGACGTCATCTTGATGCGATCACCGGCGCCTTCGGCGTCACCCACCCTCCCTTCGGCTTCACCACCCCCGCCGATCACTTCTTTTTCGCCGCTCTGACACCTCTCATACCGCCTTGCTTGCCTTCCGTCGCGATCACCTCCGTTTTAACCGCCGCCGGAGACGCGAACGTACGCGAGTTGGTCCATCTCGCAGCTCTCAGGCACCTGTTCGTCGCCTGGATACATCAATCTCTTCAAGAGTGAAGGGTCTGATTGGACCTTTCTTGAAGCGTATAAGGTGCACCTCGATATCAAGCGATATTCAAGCGAAGCTTCGTTCAACGGGGCTGATCATCATGATCTCTCGGTCGTCTCTGGTAATTTTGGAGCGCTCGAGAATGGCTGCCGTTCTCAGTTAGATCTTCCGAAACTTAAACGACCCGTGAAACGGAGAACTGACGAGATGAAGTGGATGTTCCGTGACCCTTCGCCGATATAACGATCTTAAGGGTTCGCCATAGTCTGGGCTACATTCTTTTATCCAAAGAATTTCAAGAGAACACAAGACCGCGGATCGCCCGTAATCGTCTAGCACCTAAGGAAGACTGCGAATTAATGGAGCGAGAAGCATCCCGAGTTAGACGCCGGCGAATTCTAACAATCCCGAAGAGTTGCAGGAATCGTAATTTTGCCGTTATGAATATCCTCTTCTTGGCGATACACGTAATTTGAGATCTGATTATGGTGATTGAAGAAGTTTAGACACTTCGCTGATGCATCAGCGGCGGCGAGGACGAGCACATCCTTATTACAAACATTACATTGTTATCTTTTCGACGTAATTACCATCAGCCTCGGCAACTTCGAGTTGTGTTAGTGTTAATGATCCTTTGCGTCTGCTGTTTCGTCTCGTCGCTCCAGCGAACAATAGAGACTGCCTATGCTTAGCAGAGAATGAGAGAGAAAGAGAGAGAGAGAGAGAGAGAGGGAAGGGGAGAAATCCTCGTAAATCTATGGTTCAACGTCTAATCCGAAAACTAATTATTTCTACACTGTCACAGGATAACTTCACACTCTTCCGCGGTAGACTGACATCGCGCGATGCTCGGATATGAATTTCAAGCTGGAAATAGGATTTCTTTGTTAGAATTTCGACCAAGGTAACCTGGTCCTCGATGGCTTCCACTCTTCCACTCGACTCTTCCGGCTCGTCGACGCTTCTGAAGGAACCTCACGCGTGTCTTATCGCTCAGACGAATACGATCTCGTTCCTAATGGCGTGCTTAATGTGCCGAAAAAGATAAAACGCGCCGGCCCTAATCACGCCCAATAGGAAGCCGCTCTTCGGATGTTTGCCCGTTCGTTTCATCCTGACGAGCGGCGAAAGCACGAGACGACGGAAATAGTCCGCGCGTTCAATCTCTCACTCCAGATTTCTGTGGACGGATCGTGGCTGATTGCATCTAGCTGTCACATCTCGCGGATACATGTCGAACTAGCGTCTCGATCAAGTCAAGTGGAACGTTCGTTGGCGCGACTCCTCAGCGGAACAGTCTACCCGTTGAAGCTGACTCGCTGAGGGGAGCGACGCGGTGGCGTTTACAAAGGAACTCTGACGGCGTTCTAGTCTCTAATTCTTAAAGAGATACAAAATATGGCGCGTGGAGCTATTCTTCGCGCGAGAATTCCAGGATATTCGCTTCCCGCGAACGGGATGACTGGGAATCCCTTATTTGCTTCGGTTGATCGATGTTTGAGGAGATACGCGTAAAGCCACGCACACCGTGTCGTTGGAATAAAAATAGCATACGTAAGAGGGCCCTTCTCGTGTATTCAAGAAACTCGTCACTCTTGCCCACGGAGTCCTCCGATATCTCGTCTTGCGGTTTGCGAACGCAAACTCTCTTCCCCGGAAGTGTGACACTATTCCAGCTAAGTCAACAACTTCAACTTTCGATTAACCCAATTGGGTTAAAATCACACTGCTGATCAGCGGTGTACTAACTAACCACCGCTCCCTAAATAGACACTCGTAGGCAGAAACAAATTAGAAGGATCTCTGTTGGTTACTCCTCCGCGTTGAGTTAGCACTTTCCTTGATTCATCACTGAGCTACCATATCTCCGATGGATCGGCACAACACTAGATTAGGAAGCCCACACGCGCGCGCGCGCGCGATCATCATCGTGGTTCCTCCGTCGCGGCGAATCGAGCACTATTGTAGGGGGATTTCTTTTGCGTACAGCTTCGTGGGGATGTCCGCCTCCTACCCCCTCGTCCCCAACCCCCCTGGCCCCGGGACCGACGAGCCTCTGGCTGGCGTCGGCAGCCTGTCCGCCGTATTTCTTCAAACTTCGGCTTGCCGAATCGGGCAAATCGTTTCCCGATAACGCCGTTTTATCGGACGTGCCGAAGTAATTTCAAGTTTCGTCCAGCAATTGCGCTGGACGACCTTCCCGCCTGCCGGAGGCGAGCTCGCGGCGCGACCACCTTCGGAATGAACGAAAGCGGTGCACCGAAAAATCCTAGAGAGACAGACAGAGAGAGAGAAAGAGAGGGTAGTGGGATCGGACCGAGGACGTAGCGCGGCCACCCCCGCGTTTCTTCCCTCGGCGAACTACCCCCGTCGCGACTACCACCCTCTCTGGCACTGCACCGACGACGTCGACCTAAGCCGTGGCATCGCGACGAATTTCGCGCGGCGAGGTCAGAGTATGGGCACAGTACTACCGCGAAAGGGTGAGAGCGCTGCTGGGACGGCCCGGACGGTACGCGAGGAAAACCAACCGATGTAGCCGTCACTTCGACCCCCGACAGACTGGCGTCAGGCGACGACGCTCGCCGTCGGGTGCGCATGCGCCGCGTGAACGCTCCGGTACCCGGCACGGGACATGGGCGGAAGTGCAGCCTGTCGTGGTCGATACGGCAGGAGGGATCGATCCCCTCGACTCGCACCGACCGGCGAGAGTTGTTGGTTCGAGTCCGGGATCGCGAAACGCACAGTTGTACCTTCCAGTTGGTTGTTCGAGCTTTGTTTGGACCACCTCTCCTCTCCCGCTTTCAGCCTATTCATCACCGCTGTTGGATTTTCTCTCGTTGTGTTCGAGAAGGAAACCGGGATGTTTTAGAGATTATGTGATAAGTGAAATGTGGGGCCATTGTGCCGGCGTATAGATCGCCACCGCTTCTCTCTTCGCTATTCCTTGTCAATCTGTAATTGACCTCCTTCATCGCGTTATCCACACCGTGACCGAGAAAGAGGATCGTCTCGTGTAGTATTTTATATATAACATGTAGCATTTCGCGATCGGTCTCAATATCTCTCGACTATTTCTTGATTCTGTGTATTTGTGGTTTACAAAACGTTCTGACACTGTTATAATTAAATGATTATAAGATTCCTCGTAATAATTCATGTTATATGAACCGACAAACAATAAAAACCAAATTATAGGTTTGCTTTTGCAAACTACTCAAAGGAGTAATTTGCAATTTAGCCCCTGTTGTCCATTGTTTTGTGTCATTTTAATTATTATTTTACTTATCACAGATTATTATTATTTATCATACTTGTTATTATACTGTTTCTTATGTTAGTTTAAGTTCTTTTTATTTTTATTAATTATACAACAGATATTGCACCCCGCGAAACGACTTTAATGATAATTCTGAAAGAAGGAGAGGAACGCTACGCGCGCCAATTATTTTATCAACCATAAAGTAATATAAACAGCTGTGAAAAATACACGGACCGATGAATTTGTCAGCTGTTCAATTTTCGACGAATCAGTGTTTATTAAATCAATGCAGAATGTAAATGTCAATCGATAAACAACGACACAATTAGTTGGCGGTATTTATTTGACAAGTTCGTTTGTGCCGCATAAATTGCGCAATTTTGCAACTCACAGAAAAGAATCCCTCTCTCTCTCTTCTCTCCCTTCCCCCTCTCTTCCCGTCTCTCAACATCGTGGACATCGGAAAATGCAGGTACCGCCTGAAATAAAGGAACTTTTTAACGAGAATTTCCGGAAAGCCCGGGCGCAGCTGCGCAAAGAGTTTCCCCCGCGCGAAATTCCGCTTCGCGATACACTCGACATCGCCTTCGCACTTTACCGCCTAGCTACGTTCGTTAACAAATTCTTCCCTAGCATAGCCACGCAAATTATCCCTGCCGCCACTGCCGGAAAGTCTGACGAGTCCTTTCAGTACCATGTCATCTTTTGATGTGCAGCGCGTCGTCCCTTTGGTACCGCGTTATCCTTCAGTATACCGTTTATTCAGCTCGGGTAATCTCGCTGCTTTTTACTTGAATTACACGACGCGTGCGGAATACGCGAGAAACGCTAGCGAACGGGATGGCCCAGACATCGCCCCGGCCATCTATCACTTACGCTGACAAATGACAACGTTCTTTCTTCAACATTTTGCCTGGGAAATCGATCGAATTGGTTCGAGTAAGCCGTCGGCAAAGAGTCTTCCTCAGCATGACGCGTTATTTTATGCGCGACTCTTTTTTTGCACATCACAAGAAGCGTCTCGGCGCGCTCTCTCGTTTCTTGGTCGCGATGGGTCCAATTACCCGGGATCTTTTCCGCGGTGAAAAATCAGGAGCAACTTTCTCGCTCGGACAGATACGAGGAATAATTCGACAGAGAAGTGACTAAGGGAGCGGGAGTGGGGGCAGTTAAATATTTGCAAAGTCAACGCGAGCGGCGTCGCGCTACCCTCCGAGGGGGTGGAAATTGGCCGCCTCCGGCCGCAAAGCCGTCGGGCGGAAATCCACGCCGAGAACGTCCCCTCGTTTGCGACACGAAGATGCAACCTTCCCTGGAGTCGCTCGTGCAGGAATTCGCCGCTGAAGTACGACAACCGCGCAACAATCCGAGGCTTCGAAAGGACGCTAAGACCCTGAAAACCCGGGGATCCCACGATGCAAAAATATCGAAGCGATAGAACGACATTTTGAAAATCAAAGATCCGCGGAGGAGTCCTAAGAATCTTTTCTGCACCGAGAGGAAAAATATCTGAGAAATAACAGATGCTTATTCGGTGGATACTATTGACATATCCACTTAAATCCAAATTCTTCGAACAGGATGAATAATTGCTTTCATGCAAAGTTTAGGTTTTAAGGGAATGTATATTTTCTTTTTTTGCTTGTGAAAAATATTTAATAGTAGTATAAGTAAATATGTCATTATATATAATATTTATCGGATAAATATGTCTCATTTCTTAAATATTTTTTCTCTCACACACTGTGCGTACTGATTTGAGAATTTGATTTGGCGAATTCGAGAGAATATAACACCGATACCAGTGATACGATTACGTAAAGTAACAATTCACGAAGAGAGATTCTCACAAACGATTTGTTTGACAAGCATATAGGCACGCCGCTTTTATTCGTTCTAATATTTGTCAAGGGTGCGGGCAGGAAGAGAGTATTCCGACATCCTGAAATGTAGCTGGCTTAGAAAATGCCTCGATTATTCCTCCGCGCGGATACTGGAAATTTTCGAACTGAAAATACCGGCAGAGCCCGATTTGCTTAGCGAGAGAATCCAAAAGGACCAAGGTGTCCTCATCCCGGCGACGTTCTCTCCTATCGATCCCGCGGGACGTATTAATCACCACGAAACACCGGTGCTGTGACACGACACGGGAATCATTCACGGCACCGCGGTGGATATGACCGAGATTTTTCCGTGGCGAAATAAAAAGAAATGTGTGAGGAAAATGAGATCTCTTAGCGCGGGTCGGCTCTTTTAGGAAGGACTTGAGACAAGGGTCGGAAAGCCGACAGGGTGTGACACGGAGAAATTCGTGCCCGGACTGTCGAGCATTCAAATCCAAGAAATCGATGCCGCTTTTCGCGGTGCGGAATGGCGAATTCCGTGTGCGTCAGTGACTGCGAAAACCGGGAGTTCTCGGAAGGACGAGTGTCTCGATCCTGCAATTCTACCCCTACGCCCTCACTGGGCTTTATACATAAATTTGGGAATCGGCAGAGGCGAAAGTTTGGCTCTGCAAACAGCGGAATAACCGATGAGAGCGACAGGCAAGATTCACCGTCGATTACAGTCATTTTTCTCGATAACGGCAGTTATTGCCTCGGCTAAATTGATGATCCATCAATTTTCCGTGACTGCATATTTCAACACTTGGTACGAAGACACATCAGCTGGTTCGAAACGACCTCCCTTCAGCACGTTACATACATATCGCGCTGCGATTGGGGTTAGCAGCTTTCACTATGAATTATATGTATATACCGCGCTGAAAATAGCTTCAACACTTTTTTCCACTAGTATCAATCGAAAATCTCGCACAATACATCTACAAATTCGTGCATCATGACTGTATCGAAAAGATAGCGATTTTCAATTTCAAGTATCATGTGTAAGGCTCAAAATTGTATAACCCTCAATTTCGCGAATGTCTCGGTCATCCGTGACGCCGCGTGTACATAAAAGAGAACAAAGACAACACATCGCGCGACGCGTGGCATTGTTTTATTAGAAATAATCGCGCTATATTTGCGCAGAAATCAATAAGAATCGCGCGTGGGCGCGCGAGGAGAAATTTCATTTTGTCGCGCGATGTAATTCGAGGCTCGAGAAATTCGAGAACGGAAGGTTATGGGACCACGCGCGCACGAATGCAACTCCAATTCCGGAAGGGTCGAAATTTCAGAACAACGAGCGTTTATGCGATCGTCGGCGCGAGTATTGTTATTTTCAACGAAATTTCATCCGGTTGCGTCGCAGTTTTTAAATACGACGAATAGAGTAAATAAATATAACTCCGGGGCGGACGCGCCGTGCGGTTATTATTCAAAAATTGCCATTCCCGTCCCGAATGCAATTCAAAACGTGGCATTATGCATGGCGCTGCATGCGTCATGGAATCCGAGGAAAAACGCGCGTTTTATTATTTCGCGTCTTTTGTAGTGCTCCTCACGCGCGCAGAATTTCTCGGTTAATAAATTGAGCAAATTGCGCGTTTATGAAATTCCTTATTCGGGAACGTGCCCCTCTCGTTATATCGATTCCGGAAAATTGCGCCTACGACTCTCTGCCCCTCTCCCTCTCTAGACGCCGCGCCTGAGGGAAAACAAAAGGCGAGCGAAATGGTTGGTTTTGGATACACGCGATATATGCATTATCGTAATCGGCCAAACAAGAAGCTCCGTGAGCTATGGAACAAATGCGCCCAACTAAAACTCCTAAATACCGTTCGCTTCACACCCGGATACGCTGGATAGCCTCTCACCAGTCTCTATTCATTGAACTAGCAGAAGCGCGTAACATTTTTGCTAATTATACGTATGAACTCCTCTCGCGAGAATTTCCTAATTATCAAATGTACCTCGGGGATTATCACGATATCCGGATACGCTGCTAAACAGAGCGCGAGGAGTCCCGAGATAGCACTGCCATTGTTTAATTAATAGATTAAGAACTCTAACGATTTGCCGCGCGTGCCGTTTCATACTTCCCGGACTCTCGCCGGTTTCTCGCGCAAAGACGGGCTTATTAGGCCTACGGTCTTTTATACAGCCACTATCGTACGGGCGGCAAGTGTGTGCTTATCGCTTTTAACAGGCGCGTCCAGTGTCTCGTGTAAAAAGGTCGTTAATTTTACAGCTGTACCCACCGGGGAATATTTAATTACTCCGCACGCGTCCCACATAAGTTCGACGTTGAAGCGGGGTTGATGACATTAAATTCTATTAAAAGGACTCCCATTCGCGTATGTTCCGCGGACTTAATGCGCATATTCATGACGGATCATCG